CCATCCCCTCTTTCCTTAGCTGGTCGGACTCCCTGATCACTTTTGATCAGAGAGACCATCCTTCCCACGTTGCTCGACCGGGTCGCAACCCGCTTGTCGTCGAACCCATCGTCCGTAAGAAGCGCCTCACCAAGGTGCTGATGGACGGAGGCAGCGGCCTCAACATTCTCTACATCAACACCCTCTATGCCATGCGCATCCCTCGGTCAGAGCTCCGCCCAGTGAGCTCTCCCTTCCACGGCGTGATCCCAGGGACGCAGGCGTACCCACTCGGGAAGATCGACCTGCCTATCACGTTTGGCGACCGAGCTAACTTCCGCTCGGAGGTCCTCACCTTCGAGAAGGTGGACTTTCTAGGGTCCTACCACGCCATCTTGGGGCAACCATGCTTCGCCAAGTTCATGGCGATCTCCAACTACACCTACCTCAAGTTGAAGATGCCGGGACCGAACAGCGTCATCACCATGGGTAGCACCTTTTCACACGCCTACACATGCGACCACGAGCATTATGAGCTTGCCACTGCCATCATCAACTCCGCCGAGCTCCCAGAGCTCAGGAATTCGTCGACTCCAGCAGTCCCAGACTGCAACGAGCCGACCTCATCAAGTGCCTTCCACCCGATCAAGGAAACCAAGGCGGTGGGGATCGACCCCACTGACCCGATCAAGATGATGCGGATCGGGACCAAGCTCCTGGCCAAATGAGAGAGCGAACTCACCGACTTCCTATGTGCCAATTGCGATGTCTTCACGTGGAAACCTTCTGACATGCCAGGCATACCAAGGGAGGTCGCCGACCCCTCGGCCACGCCCGACACTCGGGTTGGCGCTCTGTCTCGCCCGACCCCTCGGCCACGCCCAACACTCGGGTTGACGCTCTGTCTCGCCCGACCCCTCGGCCGCGCCCGACACTTGGGTCCGTGCTCTGTCTCGCTTGACCCCTCGGTCGTGTCCGACACTTGGGTCCGCGCTCCGTATCGCTCGACCCCTCGGCCACGCCCAACACTTGGGTCCACGCTCTGTCTCGCATGACCCCTCAGCCGCGCCCGACACCTGGGTTGGCGCTCCGTCTCGCCCGACCCCTCGGCCGCGCCCGACACTCGGGTTGGCGCTCCATCTCGCTCGACCCCTCGGCCACGCCCGACACTCGGGTTGACACTGCGTCTCGCCCGACCCCTAGGCCGCACCCGACACTTGGGTTGGTGTTCCGTCTTGCCTGACCCGTCGGCCACGCCCGACACTTGGGTCCGTGCTCCGTCTCGCCCGACCCCTTGGCCATGCCTAACACTTAGGTTGGCACTCCGTCTCACCCGACGCCTCAGGTCCACGCTCCGTCTTGTCTGACGGCAACCCAGAATCTTACACCCACCGGGTGTGCTCGCAAAACGAGTATAAATAGCCCCTTCACGACTTCATAGATGACCCAAAAGGGCTCGGGGGCTCCTGTCGGGTTCATAAACCCAGGGTCCCCAATGGACCCGCTTCCTTGCAAAACCTCAGCCCAGCAGACGGCGTAGCAACAATGCTCGCCTCCCGGGCCGGCCCATATACATAATGATAGGCCGGGACAACGATCCGGTCCCTGACCGGAAGCCCTGGCCAATGTGGGGGCGAGGTCTGACTCTGACCTCCTTTTTTGACCAGAGATACGCCAGACCTCTGCTCACAGTTGTTCCTCGACCAACACGGTCGGGGCCAACTGGGGATGACCGATCGGGGACGCCCGCTTGGTGAGGGCCTAGGGATCAGGCAGAGCAGATAAGGTAAGGCACTCGAGTCAACCGCAATACCGAGGACCGTACCCTGCCATGCCCTGCGCACCTCTAGGATGGTGCCATTAGGCCATACCAGATGGGCACTATGCAACCTTCCAGGCGTGTCAGAGTATAAACAGTATTGTAGGCGCCGACGTTTGCCGTACCAGGCGAACACGGTAGAGCTTACCACATGCGTCTGACATAAACAGTATTGTGGGCGCCAACGACCGTCTCGTACCCGACAGCGTGGGCAATAAGACTAGGTAGCACACGTATCAATTCTCTCTTTCTTTGACTTGTAAGGCCATCCCCTTCAACTATAAAAGGGGATGCGCTCCCTCCTCTCTAGGTGACATTCTCGCTGGCTGGCTCTGGCTCTCCCCCGAAAAGAGAAGTTAGACGATTCGACGACTCAACGACCTGAGGACTCGAACAGCTCAATAGCTCTAGAACTCTAAAGCTACACAGCGCATATGCTCCAATACTTAGCGCACGTTAGAGAACCCGTCATTCTCTGCCCTTCGGTTCAGAGTCCGACTGGGCCTTTAACACCCCCCTTTTTTATTCCTACTCATTTGTAACCCCACATCAAACTTTGAGCAGGTGGGCTCAGGAATAAAGTCACCGACCGACTGAAACTGGATGTAGGGCACGTTGCCTGAACCAGTATAAATCCTGTGTCATTGAGTGCTAGGCCACATCCGATCACAACGCACGGCAAAACTATAAATATTTACTTGTTGGTCACTTTTCGCATCGACAAGTGTTATTCTTTCAGTGGTATGCGATGCATCTGTCGATAGTGCAACAGTCCAACTTAGTTCTTTGGAGACACTTATAAGAGTGGAGTGTGCGTGTATGTGTGTTTATAAGGATGAATATGCGCTCATATATGAGCGTCTAGTCTCGAAAAAGACATGTTCTTAGTAACAAGTGGTAAGAAAGGGATCATAAGCAAAAAAAAGACATGTAATTTGATTGAGTGATAAGAAAGGGAATAATATCAAAATTTACTCTCTCTGTCTCGAAAAGAATGCCATTCTCAGTTCCCGAGAAATCACATATTTTTAACTTTGACCAATTATATATAAAAGAATATTAATAGTTATAATACTCCCTCCATCCTAAAATAAGTGTATATCTCGCACTTCGAGATGTCAAACATTCCTAAGTTTGAACTATAAGGTTTTAGATCTCTTCAAGTATTACAGCTTTGGTTTTTGTTATTTCTTCGTCCGAGCTCATTTAGAAAATTCAAAAAATATAAATTTCAAAATCCTTGTTCTTAAAACATAATTTTCAGGCCATAAATGATTTCAAAGGAATAACATTAAAATTATAGATCTTTTCAACTACTACAACTTTCATCTAAACTATTTCTCCATCCGAAATCATTTGAAAAATTCAAAAAAGATAATTTCAAATTATTTGTACTAGTGCCAGGTTAAATCGTCTGTTTAAATACATTCTGACTGAAAAGTCTTTTAAGCCTATCATGAGTAGAAATATGATTTACATTGGCGATAGGCTTAAGAGAATTGTCAATATAAATAGAAGATTTGTACTAGCGGCGGGCTTATGAAAACTGTTAGTAGCTAGAAATGTACTTACGCTGGCAGTTCATAGCCACGAGCGCACGGTTGGCGCTTGTTCTTTAAGAATCACGGCTAAAAAAAATCGCTAGAGTCGACAAAAAACGTTTCTATACTAGTGATGCATTCTTTGAACGAAGGGTTTATGTTCACCTTTAATAAATAGGGGTATACGAGTAGTTTTTATTGGGCACCAATCTATCCTAATAATTCTAAACATCAAGTTATTGGGAAAAAAAAAGAATCAAGATTATCCTCAACAATATTGAGTCTAATAGGTGGTTTGGTCATTTCACAATCTTTCTACAAGTCGATAAGAGGTGGATTGCTGAATTGTTCAGAACGTAGCGCCCATATTGTTAAAAGCTTCGTATCCACAAATTCGAAGGTTAAACAAACATGCCCGGGCTGTGCCACGCGATACTGATGACCAATGTGGTCATATTACCACAACTTCGATATTAGAAAAAGAGAAACGATATATGTCAACAGGTTGTTTTTTGGGCCTCCATTAACTGAATTTTTTGGCGTCTGATCCACATGGAAAGCCCAATCTATCGTCCGACCTGTCGCACATCTCCGTACTCGCCTCTTCCTCCCCGCCTCCGTCTCCGCAACCCCCCCCCCCGAGGCCACGACGGCGCACCCAGACTTGCGACTCCGTCCTCCTTTGCCTGCGCCCGAGGCTGCGAGCCTGGGGCTCGCTGCTGTCTGGGCCGAGCCCAGCCGACCGTTGGGCACAGCCAGGGACCCGCCGGCCACCGCCCACCCAGCTGCGGAGGCACGGAGCTACACAGGCAGCCTCCATGGCTGCACCAGGGGCCAGGCCAGACGGTCGGCAGACCCGTCGGCTCTCCGCGGGTGCCGCCGTCCTCGGTGCGTCGCTCTGCTTCCTCACCCTTTTCTGCCGCTCGAAGATGAGATTGCTCTTTGTTCTATGTTCTTCTCGGTACTCTGTCTTCCATCTGTAAAATTGTAAATTTGTGAACAATTTGATGATATTTGTGAATAATTTGACATATATTTCTCTGGTATCTGGATTCCATAGAAAAAAATTGTATTTTTTTTTTGAAAATTTGGCATATATTTGTCTGAGATCTTGTGTTATTTTCAAATTACATCGCTCTGTCCAATAAATTACACCAAAGAAATCATTATAAATATAGTAATAAGGCAGTGTAAATATAGCTAGATGACAGTGTAAGTGCATGAGAAAAATTCAGTTGATAGGAGGAGCCAAATCAACTGGATGCCACATAGACATGTCCAAAAACGCTACTCACACAGAACGAGAGATTCTATCCGTGCACCGTACGTGCTCACATCCGATCCAGGCGAGTTCCTCAAACGAGTTCAACGCCTTTGCATGCCATGATCCTGGGAGATTGCACGCACCTTAAGTTTAGGCGGTCAATCGTGTGATTATTGCGCGCACGTTGCTGGCATGTGGAGTTCATCAAGGAGCAGCATGCATGCTTAGATGCCAGGTTTTGTAACGTGAGGTCGTGCTCCTCGCCGATAACATATAAAACTTGGAGGCATTTGACCTTGACGCGTATATAAACTGGTCGCGCCAGGATAGATGCTTGAGCTGCGCAACAGCAGGCAGGTATCGCCAGCACCTAGGAGTCAGAAGCAGGTCGAGCGCCATGGGGACAGGAGCTGGCCGCGTCTTCCTCCTCGCCTTGGTGCTGCTCTTCGCTCTGCAGACGACGCCGGCGTCGGCTGACAAGAAGGCAATGCATGATGCCATGATGCTTCCTTTGTTATCTCCTTTTTGCCTCCTCGTCATGTTCTTCGATATGCATACAGATACAGTGTTAATTAGTACTGATCTGATTTACATGCCTGCAGCCGTGTGTGATCTTCTTCAGTGCTTTCCCGGCCTCCCTTAATGCGCTGCTCGCTACAATCACCGATGAGTAAGATCAGATACTAGTATTACTGCGTTATTAACTCTTAGCTAGGCATCGTTGAGAAAGAAATGCGTGCTTATTAGCTACGGCACGAAATGCAGCTTCACGATCCTGCCGTACGACCTGCGGGCCATCAGTGGGGTCGCGCTGCAGATCGACGAGAGCTTCGTGCCGCTCCTCCGACGTATGTATTGTCTGTCTCTGGTTCAACGATCCGACGGGTTTTACGAGCGAGTGAATGAATACATATATATACTCCTCGGATCGGCGCTGATGCGTTTCGTCTTTGCTTTGGTTGATTGGTTCAGAGCTCCCCGGCGTGATAGCCGTGATCCCGGACACCCTGTACAAGCCCCACACCACGCACTCGTGGGACTTCCTCGGGCTCGCCAGCAACGGCGGCGAGATAACCCCCGCGTGGTCGTCTGCGAAGCTGGGCGTGGGCACCATCATCGGGGTCATCGACACAGGTAAGACTGATGCACCTGCTACTCCATGTTCTTCAACGTGAATCATCGCGACATGCGGCCAAGCTAGATTTGCTCATCACGTACGTCGTCCCGGGTGCAATTGATTGACAGGGACAAAGTCTCGCAGACAGCACTCTGCCCATTGGTCAGCCGTATCAGATTATCAGCGGGGAGAAGGCCAACGCCGTGAACCAACCAACCGGCAACTCGTACGTACCCATGTGATTCTTCACAGCCTGCTGTTTGTTGTTCGGATCGACGTGTGTCGTATATATGAACGTCCTGCTGATCGATGAGGTTCCTCGTGCCTGCCTGCAGGTCGCTGTGCTTGCCCGGCTCTCTGGACCCTGACAAGGTGAAGGGAAAGATTGTGGTCTGCGTCAGAGGGGTGAACGCCAGAGTGGAGAAGGGGTTTGTGGTCAAACAGGCGGGCGGCGTCGGTATGGTCCTCTGCAACGACGCCAGCACCGGGGACACCGTCCTCGCCGACGCGCACGTCCTCGCGGCAGCTCACTGCGCCTATTCGCAGTGCGTCCGGCTCTTCACCTACCTCCAGTCTACCAATTAAGCAAACCTGCTGCCCGGCCGCAGCGCGTTGGACTGAACCGACTGATCAGCATTTCCACTTCCACTGTAGCAATCCGTTGGGCTACATCAACGCAACAGACGCGAGTTTTGGCGTAAAACCTGCGCCGAAGATTGCAGCGTTCTCGTCCCGGGGGCCAAACGCCATAACTCCTCAGATCCTCAAGGTTAGCGCACATTGTTCAGCAACCAGATTGTCCCATCCTGTGACTAGCAGACTAGCAGTAGTGTCGCTGACATGTCGTTGGCAGCCCGACATCACAGCACCAGGTGTCAACGTAATCGCCGCGTACAGCGGCGCGGTCTCACCAACGGAGCTCCCGTTCGATGACCGGCGTGTCGCCTACAACATAATGTCCGGCACCTCCATGTCGTGCCCCCACGTCTCCGGCATCGTCGGCCTCCTCAAGACAAAGTACCCCTCTTGGAGCCCCGCCATGATCAAGTCGGCAATCATGACCACCGGTGAGCTACACCACCAACACTTTTGAAGCCATCTATATATGTTCTCTGGAGGAGCCTAACGCATGATCCGTCCCGTGTTTTGTATGCTGCACTGCAGCGAACACCATGGCCAACGACGGCAACCCGATCCAAGACGAGGCCGGCGCCGTCGCCACGCCGTTCGGGTACGGTTCAGGCCACGTGGACCCCGTCAGGGCACTGGACCCCGGGCTGGTGTACGACACCACGCTGGTCGACTACACCAACTTCCTCTGCTCACTGAAGCCCACGCAGACGACGCAGGACCCGATCCCCAGCCTCCCGGTCGACCTCCCTATGATGGGCAGCCTCTCTCCACCCGTCACCAGCCTCCTGCTCCCACTGTTCAACGCCGCCGGCGAGCCGTGCAAGTGCAGCCAGGGCCCCTACGGCCGCCCCGAGGACTTGAACTACCCGTCCATCGCAGTGCCGTGCCTGTCCGGCAGCGGCGCCACGGTGAAGCGCCGCCTGAAGAACGTCGGCGGCGCGCCCAGCAAGTACAAGGTCAAGGTCACGGTAGCGCCGAGCGAACTGGACTTCGTCTGGGTCGGAGAGGAGAAGGAGTTCACGGTGAAGCTGGACATGGACGTCAACGCCCCGGCGGCGGCTAATGACTACGTGTTCGGTAGTATTGTGTGGTCCGACGCGCAGCAAGCAGGGCCTCCGGTTGCCCGACGCCGACCTCTAGCCCGGGGGGAGACGAAGTAACAGGCGGAGGCGAAGGAACGCGCGGCGGGACAGCCTCCGTGTTCTCTTCAGAACTTGAGCACAGCCCGCCGAGAATATCGGGCATAGGGTTGGCGGCGCTGGCCTCCGGCTGTTCGGCGCCGCTCGCAGCACCCTGCGGGGAGCATGCTGGTGCAACGTCGGTTTCCTTCAGCCCTGCACCCCCCGCGGTGCCGTGCAACGAGCTCGGCGGGACGGCTACAGCCCGGCTACCCCCGCCGCTCGCCACCCGCGCGTCCCTTGGGGCCGAAGAACTTTGGGCATGTTCACTGCCTGCCGAAGAGGCACCTGCGCTGTCGGCCGAAGACGTGGCCGGCGCGATCACCAGAACACTGGATTTCTTCTTTTTCGCATGCGCCTAGGTAACAGCGGCGCCCTTCCTCTTCTTGGACTCGGCCTCCGCCGTAACATTCTTCGCGGAGATCTTCTTCTTCTTCTTGTCAATTGAGGCAGTAACCTCCGCGGGAACCTCACGCTCCCGGTAGATGATCCCGAGCTCCTCAAAAACTCGATAGAGCCGCGGCATGATGCCGGACACGGCTCTCCGAGACATGTACTCACGCTCGGAAATTTTGCCGACCAACCCGATAGCAGCTTCCTCAACCTCGGAGACGAAACTGTCCTCCATTACGCCCTCGCCCAAAGACTGGCCGAAGCGGGGGAACGGAATCCCAGCCTCCAGCCTAAAAACGGAAATCTTCACCATTTCAAGCCTAAAGGGTGGATTGTCTCCTTTAAGGGGCCAATAGTCGGAGGCCATGATCTCCTCCACCAGATCGCGGCCCCCAGAGTAGCGGCACGCCAACGCGAAGGCCCGGTCACAGGCCTCCCTCGCCGGAGATACCGCCTCCGGCGGCTCCACGCACGTATGCAACGCCATCGCCTCCATCCTTGAAGTCAGTGGGTACTCCACGACCTCCACACCATCGTCGGTGGTGCCGCGAACCCTGTAGGTCTTCACATAAAACCACCCCTCGAGCCAGCCGCGGTCCCATTTGCCCTTCTGGCAAAAAGAAATCTCCAGGCGATCTACGCCTTGGTTCCTCTTCGCCATGAAGGTACAACTACCATACTGGCAGACCACCTCCACCTCCTTGCCGTCCCGCATCTCTTTCCTCTTCTTCGGTTGTTTCTGCAGCTTGTAGTAGGTGCAGAAGGTGTCCACATCCGGCTCGGCGCCATAAGAAGCACACGCCCAACAGAATTTGCTGAGCGTAAGGAAGGCCGTAGGGGTCAGATGGTGGAGCTGGACGTTGAAGGTCTCCAACACCCGGCGGAGGAAGGGACCGTAAGGAAGACGGAGGCCGCAGACGAAGAAGTCCCGAAACACCACCGCATATCCCTCCTCCGGCCCTAGAACAGTCTAGCCAGACGGAGGGATCTTTACCCTAGAAGGTGGAAAATACGACTCCTTCGACATCTCCGTGACCGCCTCTTCAGTAATAGAGGAGGGGCCGAAGTCCCATGACTTTATCGCCATGTCTCCAGAATCCGCAGCGATCAGGTCTCCGACGGACGCGGAGACACTCCCCAAATCTTCCTCCAGTAGATTCTCAAAATCAAATGCGGTCGCGGAGGCAAGCATGCACTCCTCGAAACGTGCACCCCAGCCGCCCGCCCTAACACCAAGAAGGTGGCGATAGGGACCGAAGAAGGCAGGCCGGCGAGTATGGGCGAAGGTGGAAGAGAGAGCCACCGCGGCTGCAACCTCGGAGGAATGCGCAAGCGGAAAAAAGGAACGCGCGGACGCGACTCAGGCGTAAGCAAAGAAAGCAGAGAGCGGTGTCTGGCGCTGCAAGGCAAGCAAACGAGTCGTGTGGGGGGGGGGACCCCGCCACCAACCTCGCCCATTATATAGGCCGTGGGCGGGTGGCTCAACTCCAGCCGAACAACGGTCATCTCCAGTTAGCCCGTCTGGCGGCAACGGCCTTCTCCGGATAGTTCGCCTGAAGCCCAACGGTCATCTCCAGTCAGCCCGTCTGGCGGCAATGGTCTTCTCGGATAGTTCGCTGAAGCCCAACGGTCATCTCCGGAAAAAAAAAAAATGCAAAGAAGCGGCTAGATTTAAACGGCCGCTTTGACAAGACCAACGGCCGTGCTGAACGGATCGGGGAACCGGCGGGGATCGGTCGAAGACGTGACTGCGCGTAGTCTCCGCCCCCATGGACATCCTAGCTTGGGGCGTTTTTTGAGCTCACGACACGCTCAGGCGGACCGTGGTCTCAAAAGGGGGGAACTGTTGTAACATGGCCACCACGAGTGGCGGAGACTGCAGATCCGCAGGATGCGGAGCACCTCCGACCCGGGAGGCGAGGCCGCCTCACCTCAAACTAATTAAACAACGATCTTGCCTAATTGTGTGCAGTATGAAGCGCGGGCGCCGGGGCGCGCACATGAAGGGCTTACTGCCTGCCTCGTGGCTGGCCGGGCGGAGACCCACGGTTGACGTCTCCGACCAGACCGGCGGAGACCCGCCAAGACGACGGCGCGCCCCTGAAGGTGGAGGCCAGAATGCGCCAACATGGCCCCTGCGCGGCCGGGCGGAGGCTGCGGATGATGCCTCCGACCGGACGGCGGAGACACCTGCCAGGCTGACAGGCGCCCCATGGCGGAGGCCAGGCGTCGGCATGACCATAGCCCCAGCGGCCCGGGCGGATACCGTGAGAGATGTCTCCGACCAGCCTGACCGGTCTTTGCCCATGCCCAGCGATCGCCTTATCAAGGCGCCCCTAGAGATGGAGCCGGCCCACGGGGGAGGAGGCCCCGGGCGAAGGCCCAAAGCATGGTAGGCCGGCTGCTCATGGAGGCCCATTACTCTCGGCTGCAGTATGGCGGGATTGCCCGCAAAAAGAGGCGGAAAGCGGTGGAATACATTAAGGATTTCTTGTAGCAGTTGAGGGGCATTGTTCCTATTTATATCAACTACTTCATTGAGCCCTATAAATAGGAACAACTGCATAAGACATCCTCGAATATTCCGCCGCTAGCATTAATGTAACCCGAGCTTTCGCCATACCCTTTCCGAGTACATGGGCTCCATGAGATCGTTCCTATCATGCGAGCCTCCTTTGAGGAGGCTCCGGGTCCTCGGCTGTGCCGGCTCCATCTCTAGGGGGGCCTGCTGCAGCTGGCTGGGTCTCCGCCGGGCCGGTCGGAGACATCTCTCCGCTGGGTCTCCGCCTCGTCGAACAGAGCTGGGGCTATGGCATGCTGCCGACGCTGGCCTCCTTTCAGGCCGCGGGCCGTGACGCTGTCGGACGTGAACAAGCCGCATCGCGTCCGGAGCCCCGTCGTGGTTAAGACCAAGTGCGGCTAGCGGACTAGCAGAGCACAGAAAAGGCATGCAAATTGCGTGATTAATAATCCTCCTTAAAGCATCTTCCAAAATCTTCTTTATAAAAATTGTAAACGAGCGACAATACCAAATAAATGAAAAGAATATATTATTTTTATCTTTCTCCACTTCAATAGATAGCTTCCGAAGAACATCTCTACAGCCCCTTTCGGATCCTTGAACTGAATTTATTTTAATAATTATAATCTAGACACATATTAATTAAGGCCACGTTTAGTTCATCCAAATTCCAGAATTCGGCACTATGCAAAAAGAAGATTCTCCGTCACATCAAACTTGCGGTACATGTATGGAGTACTAAATGTTGACGAAATCAAAAACTAATTGCACAGTTTAGTTGTACTTTGCGAGACGAACGTTTTGAGCCTAATTAGTCAACGATTGGACAATTATTACCAAATAAAAACAAAACGCTACAGTGCGCAACAGTGCCGCAACAGTGCCGTGAATTTAGGCGGCGCCAAATCTGGGGCCGAACTAAACGCGGCCTAAGCTAATATGATTATATATGGATTATATTTGTATATTATTGTTAGCTATACGAGAGAAATATTTATGCGTTGCATTTCTACCGTAGGGGAGCGACTTGAAGAGCGCGTCATAAGTTGCAAAGTAGAAATATAGCATGATGATCAGAATCAATTTTTATTTTCCACCTTATGAATTTGAGATATGCTTATATGTGAACTTTGGAAAGTGATGGAATGTCGAATTTCAAGCTAAATGGCCTAGTTTATTAAGTATATTTCAATTTCTCCAAATGAAAGGATCCAAACAGCTCTGCATGTAAAACTCATTTCCAATCTCTTTTTCTTGTGGGATGGAGAGAAAAAACAAGTAACTCTTTGTAGAGTTGTACTAACTCCTCATCGATCCGCACTTAAAAATCGAATGCATCCACGCACAAATATACGTGAACGACTGTTGGTGCCAAGATATTCCTTATAGGTGTTAGCGCCATTTATTTTAGCAGCGCTCTTCATGGTCCCCGACCTTCATGGACCACCACCTAGAGGTTTGTTAGAATTAGATCTTCTGTTGCTATTTTTACATATGAGAATATTGTAAGATAGAGCAAGCAACGAAGATTCCATCTTGTAGGTTATGGGTGTGAATTATTGTGGTGGAGATGTCCAGAAATGGCTTGGCCACCGCCGTCGCCTTGGAGGTTCTCCGAAATTATGGCTATTATTTTTAGATGTAAAAATAATGGGAGATAAAAAAGCAATAGAGATTCTATTTTAAAGTTTTTGCACTATTATAAAACATATATCACTGCCGGTTTGTGAGCGGTAGTCTCCAGTTGAAAGGTTGTCCACACAGGATTGGACATGGTGCTCGCAAATCACGTATCTCTGTAAGGTCTTGTTCGGTTAATCATTGAACTGAGGGCACCTCCACCAATCTCCCCCAATCCCCTCGGTTTGAAGACTAACCAAACTAGCCCTAAAATATTCAGTTCTCCAAGCCAAGATTTGTATTCTTTCCACGGCCTTTTTTATAAACGGTGATAACTTTAAAGGCAAAAATTCGTTTTCATTGTTGATTGTCTGTTGTACAATGCACTCTGTTCAACCCCACGAAAAAAATTATCGCTTACATTTTGAGAGTTGCACCATCTAACTTGACATTTTTTTTGTTTATAAAAGTTGTGCTTTGTTGGTTCTCTGGAAAAGTTTGCATGAATTTTAAAACAGTTAGGTAATCCATTTCGTCATGATTATTATCTGGGCCCGGGCGTTCCCATGCTCAATTCAAGCCTAGCCCCAGCTCAGGCCGATGTTTTTTTGCGACGAAAGAAGAATTATATTAGATAATAGCTGGGTACATCAATATGTTACAAGTACTCTGGATTACACAAATATTCAGAAACTGATTTTCATCTTAATTGTACCCACGCTGTGAGTAGCTCCAGATCTTTTTTTTTTTGAAAAACTTCGCTTCATTGATTAAGTAGAAACATTATAATCAAGTTGCAGGCATTGCTGCAGGAAGCTAGGAGCACTAAGCCAAACACAGTTCTGCTTACAATCAAGAGCTTGCTTAGCGCAAAATGAGCTGCAAAATTCGCTACTCTTTTTGTGAAGACAATTCTAAAACTAGTGAAAGCTGAGGCAAGCGCCGCAACTTCATCCTTGATCACTCCAACTTTGGATCGATGCTTGTCCCTGTCGCCCCAGAGGGAAACTAGAACCAGTGAGTCAGTCTCCATGATGATGTGCTCCCTCGTTCCGGCCAGAATCAGCCGAACACCATCACGTAACGCCTCGACCTCCGCCAGCAAGGCCGAGCCCACCAAGTCAATCCATCATGCCGAGGCCATGCGTAGATTGCCGTCACTGTCCCGCAGCACTGCCTCCGTTGCGCCCGATTCAACACACGGGAGGAAAGCCCCATCTGTATTAACCTTCAAAGTTCCATGATCCAGTGGTTGCCATTTTACCGCTTGCTCCGCGTTGATCTTCCCCGAAGGGCAATCTGCTACAAGCTGAAAACAGGCCTCCACTGCCCAGTCTATTGCCGATCGTGGATCAATCAGCGTCTTCCCATGTTTTCGGTCGTTCCTGCTAGTCCATATTGACCACATCCCACAAAGAATTACTCCTCTATCTTCCTCCAACCAAACCTGTACGGCGCTTTGCAGTATGGATGACCGCACAGGCAAACACTCGGCAAAAGGTGGCCTGAGGACAGATGTCCAACGAACGACGGTCAACATTCATGTAGGTGGCGTTGAGAAACTTCTTCTTTCTGGTGTCTTTCTTCTTCTTCTTCTTTCTGCCACTGAAGAATGAGGAAGACTGATCTGAAAATTATTCTCCCTAGTCCTTCATCGTGGCCAGATCTAACCACGACAAAACGGAGAAGAGTCCGGAGAAAATTATTCCATGGCGACAACATCATCTCCACCTTGATGTCGCCGTCCGGAAAGAAAGGTCTCCATGTCAGTAAGACGGTGAAGTTGCTGATGCCGTAGTTGTCGCCCTCATCTTCAGCAAAGCCGCCATAGAGAAAATGATTCCACCCTTCCCCTTCGTTGTCACCAAAGAGGAGGAGGAGGAGATAAATCCCCAATACCAACATATTTGGCATGGAGAAACTCTAACACTAAGAACTCGATCTATTAGAAAACCTTATGAAAAAAGATGGATCCCCACTCCCTCTGGCCTCCGGCGAGATGCCGGAAGGGAAGGGAGGGGGACCAGCGACGGTGGAAGGCGGCGACGGCGCTTAGGTCAAGACGCATGAGAGAGAATTAACACCGGGGGTCACCAGCACTCGGGCACAACTCAGGACGATGTTCGTGGATCCTATCTAGTTGCCTCGGGTGTTGCTCGCTTTTCTTTGTTTTAGATTTAAGATGTGTGGCTACTCTCATAGCATCGTGGACGGCGGCGGCAGCACAAGCACAACCCAGTGAGCGAGCCCATCGGACGGTAACAACCATCCGGTCCCTTTCCCGTCCACCCGGCCCGCGGCGCGCAATAATTTTCGTGGGACATGCAGAACGCACGCGCCGGTCGGCCCAATTGCGTAGTGATACGGCCCACAAACACCCACTTCAGGCTGGCTGCATGCAGAAAAATCCTAAATGGATGACATCAGCACATATATAATGCTTTTTGAAGTAAAAAAATCATAACTGCTAAACCAAGTGTTCAAATTAAAATCCGATTGCACCATCGTATTTCTTGCAATAAATCCTTCAAAACAAGATCTCATATGAATATATTTAGATAAAATTTAATTAACGAGCGTTTATGTCATTAAGATAGAACATTTTCTTTTATCGACTAGAGACAATGTTCTAGGTTCAGAGAACAATGTTCCGTCTTTATAAGAAAGATGTTCTCAGTTTAGAAGAACAATCTAGTTTTAGATTCATCGAATTGGTATTATAATATACATAAAAATAAATAAATACATAACACAAATAAAATAATAATAAATTCTAGACTATAGAACATCACATGGATTCAAACATCCTAAAATATACTATAGACCATCACATGTATACTAAGTGAACATTACTAAGTACATCATAGAACATCACTAAATACATTATAGAACATCGTATATATATTACGTGAACATCACATGTATACTATATGAACATAAAAAAACATCGTAAAACATCGCATGTGTACTACATGAACATCACAATACATCATAGAACATCGTTGTATACTACATGAACATTATAAAATACATCATGGAACATCACAAGTATACTAAGAGAACATAAAAAATATCATAGAACATCGCATGTATACTACATGAACATCACGATACATCATAGAACATCATTTGTATACTACATGAACATTACAAATTACATCATAGAACATCGTATGTATACTACATGAACATGGTAACATCTTATGAAATACAGAAATAAAGGAGTAAACATGAAAAAAAATTAGGGTTAAAATAGAAAAAGATAAAAGAAAAAATCTAGAAAATATGAAGACAAAAAGAGAAAAGGAAAAAGCAAGAAAAACAAAAAAAGAACTAAAAATATAAAAATAAAATACAGCAAACTCAATAATTATTATAATAATAACAAAAAAGAAATAAAATAAATAAAAACATAAAAATGAAAAGAATAATGAAAAGGTCAAATGAAATGAAAATAAAACAAAAAATAAAAAGTAAATTGAAGCATGGAATGAAAAAATAATAAGAAAAGGGAAGGAAAGAAAAGAAAAGAAAAAAGAAATAAAAAAGAAAAAGAAATAAAAGAAAGATAAAAATATTAAAAAATGAAAAGAATAATAAAAGTCACATGAACAAAAATAAAATAAAAGATAGAAAAATAAATGAAGCAGAAAAAAGGAAAAGAAAAAAGAAAAGAAAAGAAAAGGAAAAGAAAAAAATGCGAAGAATAAAAAAGAGAGAGAATCTAACGTACCTGGGTGCTACATGGGCCGTCGAAAACATGGTCCGTTCCCACCAGCGCCACGGTAAAGCTGACACCGTTTCACAGAAGAATTGGCTTGGCACTGTTCATGGGAATATTTTTAGCGCGCTGTCATTCGGTGGAGGCTTCTAGTCCCCTGCGCCCTTCTGTCGTGGACTCGTGGTACTTGGCTACGATACGGCGGCAGCCTGGGGTCTCGCCCCAAGCCTAAGCGCGGATGCGGATGTGGCGGTTACGGCCTCCTCACGGCGGGCGACGTCCGTCGAGAAGTACAAGGCAGCAGTCCCGCGGATCCCACCGCGCGCTGCAGACCGCCAACTGCTTCCGCCCTCTTCCCGGTCTCCACGTCCCATTTTTTTTTTGCAATTCGGTCTATTTTTTTAAGAAAATTTACGTTTGATCCCCTGAGACATAAACTCATCTTTGGACCCTGGAGGTCGGCGTCATGACTCATGGATCCGAGGTAGCACGTCTCAGTGCCACAGATCTTAGCTTCGAGGTGCCTGGCCATGCACAGCAGGGCATCCTAGGTGACGTTGACGTGGCCGGTACCTCGGAGCCATAGATCTTGGCTCCGAGCTCGGCGCCAAGATCTGTAGCTCCGACCTTGGAGTCGTGGATCTCGGCTCCGAGCTCAGAGCCATGGATCCTGGAGCCGACATGGATTCAAAACCGACGGCTAAGTTTCCCTTGCCGAAGCTGCTTTCATTTCTTCCTCCTCCCTCTCGGGTTCTACCTCTTCCTAACCCGTCCAATCTCTTGAATCGGCAAATTTGACCTTGGATACTTGGATTTGATCTATACATCTTCGCGAGCAAGGTATCATCTCTCCTCTTATCATTTTTACGCATTGATTTGATATATATTACATCTATTTTGCAACCATAGATACGTTATTACCTAATGTTTGAAGTGATTTTTTATTTTTTGTATTATATAATGGTAGGATGCTAAAGCGTGGTAAAGCTAGTAAGCCAAGGTAATCTCTTATCATTGTGTTATATTATGTTTTCATTTATGTGCAACAAATGGAAAACCCCCAGGTTTAGGGTTTAATGTTCATTGTTTTCGGTTCTTAGAACAAATTTGGTTCAATTGTAGTTATGGTTGGATGACCGGAAATGCCTTCGACCCATTACCTTTGCCTAGTGGTGTTCCAGTGCCCATGTGCTGGTGCAGTGATCCTTGCAAGGTAACCAAGTCCGATGAAGAGGACACGTATAGACAGAGATATTGGATGTGTGCCAATTTTGTGTTTGAGCCTACACTTCGTCAGCGCCGCATTAACAAGATGGTGAGAAATTGATGTTGTATAATAATTATT